ACCAAGCCCATGCTGAAAACAGTTAATGTTTAACCCTTTTACATTAACTTACTAACATTGTAAGTAGGTTCTGTATCTCTTAAATTTTGTTCCAAAAATAAAGCGAGTGGATGAAACTGTTAGAAATTTTACAAGAACTTTCCTAAAAGTATGTAGTTTCAGAAAAATAAAATATTTAATTTTATCTACTATTTGTAATAGAAATAAATTCGTTGTTTAATTTAGTTATTTGCACTCAGACTCTTAATAGTTCACCTGCAAGATGATTTTCATGTTAAGTGTAAAAATACTATTTTTTATCTTGTATAGTTGGTCATTGTAGTCTTTTTTTTCTTAATTACTCAGTGTAGTCAGTCATCACAAAAACACAGTAATCATACTTTAAATAGACTTTAATACAATTAATATTGTCACTAACATTAATGAAACGATTGGTTTGGCATTCTCTTTTTTTCCTAATTTTTAGGAACTGTGGTACATTATGGAAAGATGAAGCTACAACATAAAATATAGATACACAAAGCAATGGTTAAAACAGCTGTAATGTAAGAGAAAAACTTGTTGGTGTTTTAACTGACTTTTGGACTACTTGCTTCTTCAAAGCTGTTTCATTTTACAGGATTGGCTCAATTTGGTGAAACACCAAGGCTTCTTCTTGGCAGAGTTTTGGCTCCTTTTATTGGCTTTTTAGCAATTCTCAGGCAGTAGCTAGGTGTTGGTTGAAGTCAAATGTCAGAACTTTCTTCTAGTTATCCTTGGTTTTACTAGATTGGCATGTAGTTGTGATTAACATAATGTGACTCTTCTTTTATCATTATTGGCCATTCATAAAGATCAGGCAGATTTCAGACATTGTGAATCCCCTGTTTCTCTTTCGGATATTGTTCTTAGTTCAACAAAACTGGCTTATAAGCAACTTGAGTGAAGTTCATCAACTTTATGTTGTATAATCCTTTAACAACCGCTACACTTTTTAGATACCATTCTGCACATTTCACAAAGTGTTACTGAGTTACATTCAAAACTAAGTTTAACCAATTTTTTTTAATGAAATTAGCATTATCAAATATGTTATAATTCAAGGTTTTATATTATCCAAGTTATTATTCCTTTATTTCGAAATGAAGTTGAAATATCTTAGATTTGGTTGCATATGTTTCTGTTCAGTTTTGTCTCACTACCTCTATGACAGTCTAGATGAGCTTCTTCAAGTACAAGGTCAAAGTCTAAATTTTAGTTTAATTTTATAATGGTTAACATTCCAAGAAGGAGCTTATTACTTTTTTCCTTTTTGGTAGGTGCCATGCCCACATTCCATAGTAACCTGTTGCTAAGTGAAAGTCTTTTCTAGACTTGAATGGCATGCTTAGAACCAATAGAAAGAGCAGATTTCTCCGGGCTAGAAAGGAATGTAGACAATAAATTATTTTTCAAATGACAAGCGAACTGCTGCTAAATCCATTGTTGAGATCAGTGTCCCTAGCACTTGATAATTTTTTCTCGCCTTATACATATTAGTTTGAAAGACAATTATCTTGCATTTAGGATATACTTTTATATTTTAGTTAATTATGTAATATTTGTGTTTTAAAATTCACATTTGCAAAGTTCAATGACTATATAAGTTTTCTACTTGTTGTTTCACTGGTTAAGGGTTATAAAAATAGGCATGTGCAAGCATTTTGCTGAAGGTTAAAGTGTCTCTGCTGATTGCAAGGTTATATTGCCTGTACGCTCCAATTCACATTTTGACATTAGTAATAAAAGATAAAGAATTGGAAAGGAAAATAAAATATTAAAAATTAACTATAAGTGAAAAGGTAAAAATGTAAAATCATGCATATGACCCAAAGAAGTTATTTTAAGATTATTCAACAAAAAAATAAAAAGTAAGTACATATTTCCATTTCTTAATTTTGAACATTTCATTTTGCACTGTACATTGATGATAATAGCTAGAGTTAGTGATTTAGTAGAGAAAATGGAAAATAAAATATAAACATTTACTTCAAAATAATTTTTGATATGCATTTAGCAGGTTCTAGAGATTATGCAAATGAAATGTGAAAACAGTAAGATAATAAATAGTATTTTTTATACTCTAAATGAAAATCATCTTGCGGGAGAACTATTGAGAGTCCAAGTGGAAATAGTTACATAAAATTATGAATGTTTGTTAGAAATAGTAGAAACAATCAAAATTAAACATTTTTCTGAAACTACTTACTTTTAGGAAGATTCTTGTCAAATTTCAAACAATTTCAATCACTAGTTTTATTTTTGGAATGGTATATAACAATAGTGACGTTAGGTTCTAAAAAGTGTAGTACCCGGTAATCATAGAGATAATGAAGTAGGATCAAGTACATAAGTGGCTTTGTACAATGCATTTTTGCTGCATCTTTACCAAAATCATAATTTTTTTTTATTTACAGTTTTTTTCTACATTTGTACATATGCCACAAGTTACATTTTTAAGTTTTATTTGGTAACTTAATAAACATATAATTTATTTTTACAAACATTGTTTTAAAATTGGCATAAATGTTAGATCTAATCACTCACCATTATTTTTATAACTTCTTTTGAATTTCTAGAATTAAAAAAATATAAATATTTTTTATTAACATGAATTGTGCTCTTGATTTAGAATTCTACCTCTGCCCCTTTGAAAAGGTCATCTGTAGACAAAATCACTAATACTCAGGTAAGGTATATGGTCATTATTTTCACTTGTCATTTGCATACTTTGTGCTGTTTTAAATGTACAGGGATAAAGTATTGTTTAAGAGTTTTGTATTCTCTTGTAATGCATAAAAAATACACACATTGTTAGGATCTTATATTTATATCTGAATTTTTTAAGCAGTATTAAGCTAATCATGATACTAAATATGTTTGTACAGAAGTGATATTGAGGATTTTGTTACACAGGGAAAAGACTATTCATAAATATTCAGCGTAGTGTGCTATTCATATTTATCTGTTTTGTCTAATATATATATTACTTTTAATTTCTACATGTATATATATATATATATTTGTTTTGTACCATATACATATTTTAAGCCACAGGCACAAGCCTGTTGAAGTGAATAAATAATAAATAACTTATTTAACTATCCCCCAACCCCATTTACCAGTTTAAAACTGCAAGGGATCATTTCAAAACAAGCCCATAATACTTCAAAATGACTAATACTTTTCTCAGTCCTCTGCCTTTTGCTTAATACACCATCTGTCAGAAAGGCAGCGAGGTTAGTGTTTCTTGTGAAACATTAAAAAAATAAATAAATTGAGAATGCCTCATTTGTACTCATCTGACAGTTACTGATCTTAACAAATTGCAAGATCTTTGTTCTTAATAAGGAGACTTTATACCTGTATTGATCTTAACATTTTGATGTTACATTTCTTTTGTTTTAAAATTGAAACCTTATACCTGATTTTTATAAAATTTCAGATCCTGTCAATGTTCTTGTTGCTTGTGATTTTGTGCCTAATCAGTTCAATAGCTAGTGAGATCTGGACAAGAGCTCATGTACAGTCAGATTGGTATTTAGGTTTAGATGGTAAGTTCAAAGCTTTCTGGTAATCTAAAATGCACGTAATTTTTAAATTTTATAATACTAATTGATACAGTGAATGTTTCGTTCTTTGATACCTCCAGCAAGTTAAAATACTTGCTATGTATTTGTTTTCTCCCTCTGCTGCCAAAGTGTTAATATATATATATCTGATATACATAAATTTACCTGGTAAGTTGATCAGAGGAGTTTGTCTGTATATTGACTGAAATACAGAATACCATTCTTAAGAAACAATGAATTATTAAAAACATCTTTTGAGAAAACTTGTTTGTCAGGATACCAAAGATGTGTTTTAGAAGTTATAATCTCATATCCTTTTTTTTTTCTTTTTTCTTTCTTTTTCTTTTTTTGTTTTTTTGTATAGAACATAAAGTATGCTGATGTTTTTGCTGTTGTTACAAGTATGTGGTGTGTACTTGTTTTTCAACTCACATACTTGTGGTATTTCACTTGCACATAATTTAAGGTTATAACTTTTTTGGAGTTATTTATTTTTCTAATATCACTGAAATATGTTGTAATTATAGTTGTACTTACATAGACCTAGAACGTTTGTGTACAACAATGAAATAGCTAATATGCACAGTTAGCATTGATCAGTATGTACAGCTCAGCAATTTTCAAAGTTATGAATATGTTTTGTTCACTAGTCCAAAACATATTCTGGATATTCTTTTCTGGTAAATGAAATGAGTGAACTGGAACAGGAATTTAGCATTTTCAGCATTGTCAGAGAATGAATTAATCTTCCTTGTTTGTTATTCAAAGATGAGTTCATGATGATGCTGATAAAAAATTACAATGAAATATTCCAAGGTTTACTTCCACAAATAACCATTGTTTCAGAAGTGAATAGAATAATTATTATGTTATTAGTGCTGTTGTAGACAAAAGTGGATAAAACTTTGTTTGTGAAACATTACCTGCATTATAATAAAATATTTTTAAGTACACGCTGTATTGTTACACTTTCTCTGCCAGCTTATAATACCTGTGTTATTTTTAAAATCACCTTCTCTTTGAGAAAAGTTGGAAGAAATCCAGAACACTATTAAGAAAGCTCTGCAAATTCATGAAAACTAATTGAGAAGGCTCTAGGAGAGCTAGCTTTGTAACTTATGTCAGAATCTTTGTATTTTTTTAGTGTATGTTCCAGTGATTATTCAGTCAAATGGTGTTATAACACATACTTAGGCTGTCATCTTGTTTTTTATTGATTGTGGGACTTGCATTCAATTTGAAAGACAGTATACTTTCTTTCGTGCATGATTTTGTATACTCTGTTTCTCATTATTTATAGACTTCTGACTGACTTAAGTTTCAATCTCTGTAAAACAATTACCTATCAAATTTTAATTCATATTTACTTTGTGAGTTTTCTCCTGTATATTGAAGAATTTACATATACTTTTTTTACCATAAAGGGTCACAGGCTGTACTTTGTCCTAGCTTGAAAAGTAATGACATAATAATATGAAATTTTATTTTTTGACTTTTCACAAGGCTAACATAATTTAACATTAGCTTTGAACTAGAGTTTGTGTTAAAAATTTAATAAAATGACTAATTCTAATCCATAATAAATATTTTTCTCCTACACTGTTAATGAACTTCAAATTTTAATTCAAAATGCAGTCACTTATATCAAAGACCCATGAGTGTTGATACACAGATAGCAGGCACCTTTAAGAAACAGAAATCTTATATTCAGGACTAAGCAAAAATATTTTCTTCTGTTGGAAAGACAACAAATATAAGTTTCAACTTGAGAATAGATACAGGTCAGAATCTTTGCTAATTTTTAAAATACTTGTCTGAAAATGCTAGTGAGGAAGATTGAGAGTAATGGGAAAGACTGGTATGTGAAATTTGGTTTACTGAATGAATCTTAACTTCTAGAGAGACAGATAAATCTCTCAGTTAATACACTTATAGGAATCTGGTTTACAAAATGTTTTATTTTGTACAATTCAAGTAGTTAACATAACATAATGTTTTGGGACAACATGGGACCTATTGGTCCATCTTCACTGTTCCATCCTCTAAACTAAATCAAAATAATTAAAACAAAAATCTTAAAGCCAGCCCTTATCATTCATATCCTTATCAAGCTTATTCTTAAACTCACTGCCTTTACAACATTCGAAGGCAACCCATTCTAAAGGCCAACCACCCTATTAGAAAAATGAAACTGTCTTAACTGAAGATGACTCCTACCTTGCCAAAATTTATATTTGTGTCCCCTAGTCCTACTATTCTCACCGTTAAATATGAAAAAAAAGATGATGCATCAACACTATCAATTTCCTGTATAATCTTAAACACCTCAATCACATTCTCTCTAACTCTTCTTTTTTCAAGAGAAAACAATTTCAAAGATCTTAACATCTCCCCATATAACAACCTTTCCATCCCAGGTATCATTCTAGTAGCCTTTCTCTGAACCATTTCCAACAATTCAATGTCTTTCCTAAAGTAAGGAGCCCAAGACTGAACACAGTATTCCAAATGTGGTCTCTTTAGACTTGTATTCAATATTTCTGTAGATACAACCTAAAATCCTATTTGCCCTACCACTAGCAACAGCACACTGCTTGGATGGCTTTAGAGACTGATCGATTATTACACCAAGATCCCTTTCCTTCATAACACTGTCAAAGTTATTCCCATCCAAATATACTTATAATTCAAATTATGATAACCTACTTGCATTATAATGCATTTATTATAATTAAAACCCATCTGCCATTTATTTTTCCCAACTCACTAAATCCTTTTGTAAAGCAGCAGCATCCTCTTCACAGCTAGCAACACCAAATACATTAATATCATCTGCAAATTGAGTCTTCCTTCATCTATGTCACTGATGTAAATCAAAAAGACCAAAGGACCTTTTCTAAATATCAACTTATTTTATTAAAGAAATTTATAAAGAATAATTATCATGAATTAATGTTATGTTTAGAACAATATTAGTAGGATATCTGTTTTCCTTAATAGAATAGAGTTAATATATATATTTGTTTATTTTTTGTCTTACTGAACCAGAATTATTTCCTTGACCATATTCTTCACTTGATCCAGTGCAACTCACTCTTATTTTAGAAGAAATTTCCTATCAATATTAACTTCTAATCAGATCAAACTACCTACTTATATCAAAACTGAGAATTGATCGTATGACATAGGTTTATTTCAATCAGACATCCAAGTTTAAGCTAGTAGTAATGGTGGAAGATGTCAAAATTACTCTTAAATATGAGCTTTGGGGTTATTCTTTTATACTTGAGGATGACTTAGGTTTAAAGAATTTGAAAATTTTTTTTGAAGTGTAGATTTTTGTAGAAAAGAAAGTTTTGATTGTAATTTCTTCATTAATTCTTATTGTAGGTATCTAGGTATAAAGCAGAATTTTTTTGTTGGTGGTTTAAGTTATGATGCCATTTGGGAAAAATAGTAAATGTTAAGTTTATGTTTTGTTCTTGACTAAATTATTAAAACTGTTGATACTCATAATTTTTTACTCTGTTTTTTGTCTGATTTCAATTGGCTAATTTTAATTAATAAACAGACTGTGCATATACCATTTGGTGTCTGCTGTTCTGTTTAAACTTCCCTTGTTTCTGAGGGTGCTAATATCATGTGGGATTTTAATTTTTAAATCTTTGTATTTTCCACCTTCTGACTTTTGGGTTATTACTGACAATAGCTAATAGCCTTTTAGTGGAGTAATCTTCCTTTATTCATTTTATTTCTCAGTTTCTTAACTTTCAGTGTTATATTTGGAGGAACCTTTGATGTGGTGTTCTATTTTGATTCATTATGAATTTTCTGCCCTGCACATCATGATTTATAATTATTTCATTTTGAGATTTTCTCTTTCAGAGTAATTACTAGCTATCAGTTACACTCACTTTCTTGATTCCTGTATTTAGTATCAAATTATTCCTGGCAGTCTTCCTTAGCTGCAGTTCCCCTTGTACTGTTGCAAGGTATCCCCCCCACTTCACTTCCAATCTCAGCAGGGCACAGCTTCTCTGCTGCATTTGCAGGCCATAGAAGGTTTGGTTTCCACAGCTCTATCCTCTCCTTCTCTTCCACCAGAGGTTCTCTGTCTGTCGAGGACTTGGGTTTTCTTGGAACCTCTTATCATCTATGATCTAATTCACATTCATCTTTTACTGTGGGCTATACATGATCAATGAAACCTCTCTCAGGATCTTTTTTTTTGGAGTGGTCCCTCAATCCTCATAATTTTTTATGGCTTTGCTCTCATTTGGGCACTCTTCACTTCAATGTCTATGCCATTTATGACAATGGTAAGTTTACCCTTTCGGGTTGCCTGTTCCACAGACATCAGCACTGGCAGTGGATGTATTCATTTAGGAATGATCAAATATCTTTCTCTGTGCTTACTCCTGTTTGTCTCATCCCTCAAGTTCTCTCCTTCATTTGGGACACTCCTTATTGGGTCCTTCTGGTGGCACCCTATTGGCTGGCCCACTGTCTCACTCCCTTATTCTCCAGCCTCATACTTCTCTCTTCTATCTAGCCATGTCATCACTCTGACTTTATGTGTGGGATTTGTCCAGTCCTTTGTGAGGACTCTCTTCACATGTAGCATTCTTCCTGTCCTATTCTGTTCACCCATTCTCCTTAGGAGTTTATCAGTGAGAGTGATATACTTATTGCTGCTGGTCTTGGCATCAATCCTTCTCACCTTCTCATCCTTGTGATCCCTATCTACTGATGGTCTTCATATGGCTTTTTGACCAAGGGCTCGTCTGTCTCAACTGTTGCTGGTTACTAGGTGGTTCTCTTGACTACTTTCTGGTTTTTCCATTATGTTTTTCCTCAGTCCTCCCCTTCTGGCCTATCTGACTGGGTCCTTAATATTGTTCTCCATGCTCTTGCCCTACGTCTCTTTGAATCTTTGGCTTCTTGTTCCTTTTACCATCTGTCCCTTATAACTTATTTCCTTC